GTTCAACCACGTCGAGTGTGACATAGTTGTCCACCTCAGACAATCGATTAGGGTTGTACAATATTGTGAATTGATTGAAGTTAGATATTGACGGCGTTGAATGTCATCTTAAGGGTTTGGAGGTTAAGCATTTGCGCGTGAGACAGAAGGTCCTAAGTCACATTGTTGGTTACAGGGTCGTGGGTGTACACTACTTCGGAGTATCATACTCGGCCTTCCAATGCTTCGGGTTTTCCAATAGTGGTCTAAGATCAGTTCGTGGTTTCAACTATGAAAATAAATCTTAAACAAAATGAGTTTTCACACAAAATGGTAGCCTATTTACTTAGACTTAACGACCATAGCCAATGATCGATGAATAGAATTGGGGCTTGTTCACTTTTTCTACCAACATCTATATATATATATAACCATTTGAAGACAAATCAACAGTTATAAGTGGACAGTCAGATATAGGACATCTAATCAACATTAGGTAACCCAGATACCCGAGCGAAATAAATAAATAAACGACTGGACACAACTGTCAGAATCCATTAAAAGATAACATTTATCTTAGTTGGACGAGGTTTATAACAAAATATGCCAAATGAAATAATAAGATAGATACACATACACACACACCAGACAGAAATAATAAGTTAGCAAAAAGGTCAAATTATGCTAGTTGACAGATAACTGCAATAGTTGAAAGGATAGATAGATAAATGAATAAGCTTAAAATGAAAGTAATCCTTTACAAGTTAAATTAGCAACACGAACTATGTTTTGTATTGGTTTACAGGCAGTGAAAAGTGGATTTTAAAGATGAAAATAGGCACAGATTACTAACGTCCAATCATAGTTATTCGCGTAGTATTAATTGAATATCATGGAACCATCATGTGAGTAATACTGTTGATAAAACTAAGACGATACTAATTAAATATAGCAAAATCTACTAATTAGACAACAAACATCCAACTACGGAAACTATGTTGATACTACAGTCAAATTTCAAAAAAGTCATTGATTCTAAATAACTCTGTCAGTTGAATGCATTCATGTACAATGAGCTTAGAATGAAAGAAATTATAGACCTAAGTTATTGGAAAAGCCTCGAAATTATCGATTTTTTGTTAGTTAATTGTGATTATAACAAATAAATAAGTCTTCGATAACTTTAATATTACAACTCTAATACCTAGCAATCTTTGACTAGTTGTTTCCTGTTTTAGTTTGCTTATTAGTGGTCCGATCTATCTAGCTTTTTTAGATCACGTTTCGTACTAGAAGAACCTTTCAATCGGAATAATCAAATGATTTTCAAAGCTAAACAAGTGTTTGGATTATATTACCTTAACTATGAGACCGGGATAAATAATGTTAAATTATGTAGATTATTGATTAGTATGTAAACCGAAACAAGAACAGAATATTTACAACTGAAGAACATCTGGAACTCAAAACAACTGTCAACCAACACCAAGATAAGAATTTTCAATACAAATGTCAAGACAGTTCTACTATATGGGGCGGAAACCATCCAGAAGATACAAGTGTTTATCAACAGTTGTTTACGCAAAATACTTCGTATCCGTTGGCCAGACACTATCAGAAACAACCTACTGTGGGAGCGAACAAATCAGATTTCAGTGGAGGAAGAAATCAGGAAGAAGCTCTGAAAGTGGATAGAACACACATTGAGGAAATCACCCAACTGCGTCACAATACAAGCCCTCACATGGAGTCCTGAAGGCCAAAAGTATATATATATATATACGCATGTGTCCGCGTATGATTGAATCAAGGAATGAGATGATAATGAAGAGAGTATTGAATTTATTCCGAAAAAAATCCTTTTTCAGTGATAAAAACAATTAAGGAAAATTCTTTCTTTATATTATTACGTAAAAATTGTAAAGTGAACCACAAAAATCCTTTTTATCTGGTAACTGCATGGATCATGATTACTTGATCAGTCTGTTTTATTCATTTTGTGACATATTGAAGCTGACGGCCTATACAGTCAAAGACTTTGGGTGTCATATAGTAACATATCGATGACTATCAGTGTTGGCCATTTTAATATCATAAATTGACCGAAATATGTTTTCATTAATTAGATTTTAACAGGCATGTTTTAGATGTAACTAATGGAGTAATACCATATTGGTGAAAGTAATCATTATCTAGCCGCGTCCCATCAACATCAGTCTAAACACACGGACAGTAGTATATGAACGCACAAACCATAGTTGAAAGTCGAATATATGAATTCATTTTAGATTAAAAATTTACATTATCATGAGTGGATATTTACTCTACCACCTGTTTGGTTGAAAAAGACTAATTCAAAAATAATTATTATGAATTGATGAGTCTATCACACCTTTTTGTATCTGTATGAAACCCAAACAATACTATTTATGCATGTATACAATGTGACTATTCAAAACGGGAGCAGGTTATGGAACCTGTGACCTAATTTACAATGCATTGAAAATAATTATATGCCTAGACAGCTGACCCGTTAGGATTAAACAAATAATTGAAAATCTAGTCAAAAGGCCTTAGAAAACATGTCTCATATTTAAATGATAAACTTGAATTAATTTCTCTTAGTTGGGTTAATTTTTATTTTGGCTCGTTCTAAAGAAGGATAATTAAATAACTATAGAACAACTAAACTTCATTGACACCCTTATGTTATATTCCTCTTTCTCACTAGTCTTTACACTTTTATTGATATTGAAGTATTTCCGGTGTTAAAAGTGAATGAATTAGTAAATTTAATTATAGATCAGAGGGGATTTTGTGGAGAATTTAGTATTTTCATAGTTAAAATCATGAGTCAATTGAATCTAGAACACTATGGAAAACCTGGAAGCACTGGGCGGCCGTTTCGTCCTATTATGGGACTCCTCAGCAGTGCGTATACACGATCCTGCAGTAGAGAATATCAACTCACTGAAGACAATTGGTGAACGGTTGCTCAAACATCGTGGATTGGTTGAAGTTAGACATTAACACAGTTGGATGCCGGTCAGCTCAGTGGTCTATCGGTCAAGTGTTCTGGCGCGAGACTGGTAGACCCTGGGTTCGAATCTCGCGAGTGCGGGATTGTGAATGCGCACTGTCACTGCGGAGTCCCATAAAAGGACAAAACGGTCGTCAAGCAGTGCTTCCAGATTTTCCATGGTGGTTTAGCTTCAATTGACTAATGACGTCAACTATGAAAATTTAATTATTACAACACGATTCATTATAATCAGAGAAAAGATGAATTATTTTAATGTTTAAATAGGGTGATGAATTTGTGTCATGATGATTTATGAGAACAGTTGTGTATGTGCAATGTCAAGGCGATTTTCATCATAAACTCTTACATCAAGTAGAAGAGTAGCTAAAACAATGACAGGTGTTCTCATTTATGACTATACAAATGATTAAAAAAAATCAAAATCTTTGTGGTTCCCAAATCCCGGTGGAATACAAGTGAGACATTTTCAACATCAAACACCTTTTTGTTTATAGATTTGTAATCTGCATAGTGAATAGACTACGAATGATATCAATGACATCTATTACGAAGTTTATGATTATGACTAAGCTACAATATAAATCGATTAAAGCATTTTCAATGACTCCCCATCCCATTATCAGTACTCATAATGAACGTTACCTACAAAATTGTCGTCATTGTACAATTAAACTATTAATTTAAATTTATAAAAAAGTAGATATAAATATACGAAAGATACATATGTAACATTGAATATTCTTAGATAAATCAAATCAGTACACCTCTAAAGTCAATATAGTTATTGTAAGAGATTTCGATTGTGCTCATTTAGAAAAAAAACAAATACAAGTGAATAACATTTCAGTATTTTTTTAAAATGGAAAGTGTAAGATAATAGTTGTTAGTATTCAATGCACTGTACACCTTTCGTGCCCCCAAATGCCCTGGTACCGCCGAGAGTGGGGAGAGTCCGCTCTCCCTCTCCAAATGCTCTCACATCGCCACGCGTATATAGCCTCTGTCAGGGAAGTCCTACTCACTGCCTTCTCGTGGCGGGGATGTTGTTTACGAAATTGAGAGGACGAAAAGCGAATGTCCGGCGCTTTAACCGGGTTGGTGGACACGGCAAGTCCACCTAGGGGAGTTGGAAAACCCTCATTCCAAACTAATGGTGCACATGGGCTCCAGTATCCTGAAGGAACGAATCAATCGATGGTCACCGGCTACCATGGCACTGTAACTCCCTACGATGTTCCACTGCCTTGTGGATCAGATCTTTCGGTCAAAGGCTCGGGATGTGGTCCCCTAAGAAAACCACCTGTTTCAGTTTGGGCACCTGGGCAATATCCCAGCCCTCACACAAATCAATTGAGATTTGTGCGGCGCATATCTGTTTGGTGCTTCCTTGTACCAATATTTGTGTTTAAATAAAATAAAGCAAATAATTGTACTGTAAAGTCAATATAGCGTGTGTACACATTACTATCTGTAATCATTGATTGAAAAAAATTCTAGATTGTTACTTACATTAACTGCAGACTGTATAGAGGGAGTTTGAAGCTTCATTAAATTAATGAAGAAAATTTAATATCTTACAAACAAAAACAAAATTCAAAAAATAGATGTCCAGATTGATTGGAATTTTGAGGAAGAATGAATAATGAACATAACTGTGTTGTTCTTTTGGAACTAAGATATTTAAGCAGTATAGCTAAACGATAATATAATATGGTTCAGTGGCTAAAGGCAAATATCTATACTCAACCTGGTTAATGATGTCGTCCGGGCACTTAAACTAAAGTGGGAAGAATGTGACATGGTTTCGTGTGCTTGTGTGTGCCATTGACTAATCATCCTTCTTAAATGCACTCATATTCCTATTGTAGTCAAATCTTAAATATAACATACGAGGAATATCACTAATCTATGAGGTATAGGAATAATTAAATCTGAAAATATATTACATAATGAAACTGATGTATATATAATCACTTACAGATATGAGTGTCTCATGGAAGTATAAGCTTCGTAGGTGTAACTCAAAGGAATTGTTTTGTAGAATATTGAAAATTTCTTTTCAATAACATGTTAAATATCCACGTTAAACAGTCAAAATAAATTTGTCTTATCACACTATATGTGTACATGTTTATCAATTATGAAAGTGATTAACTAGTATTCTGTTGATGGAAATGAATAAATGTATTCAGATGTAAATCCTGTGTTGTCAGCGTCGTTTACACACACACACATGTATCCAAATGAACAAAACTATGTGTTATTTCCAACTAATCAACAGACACTTTTAATTCAAAATCAAAATGGATTTGATTTTTCAGCCAATCAAAATTAGAAGCTATCTTTATAGTGTCCTAATGTCTAGTTGACCTTTGAAACGAAGATGTGGGAATAAGGTAGTAGTAGCAGTGGTATAAGAAATCTACTAAACAGAATGTCAATCACAATGACATTTTATTGTATACATCACTAACTACACATAATCTCCACCCTGTTTTGCTATTGCTGTTTTTTTGTTTTTTGATTGGTTAGATTGGTGCAGAGAAATCGAGATTTATTAACCAATCAACGTTGAGTGAAAGCTTGAAAACAAAAACGATGGAGGGAAAACAACTCGAAGAAATTTCAAGAAGGAAGTTGCAATATTGTAATTAAATATGAAATAGTCGACTTAAATTGTCAATAACACACATTTAGTCTGTCAAGATCAAAACAGTATGTATCCCCCTTATATACAATACATCTCTGAAAGTTTCTAACTGACTGAAATGACAAACACAGTATTCGAAAGATATACTGGGTTTTCCAAAAAAAGCAATGGGAAAGCGAGAAATTAAATATGATGAACAACTTCGCTAAAAAAGAACAATATATCATAAATTTGAATAAAGAATAATCAGTACTATTACGTTTATCGCATTACAGATCCATGTGTCAGTCAAACTATTCTAATAAAATAACTATTTGTTGACAGTCTGTGGTTTGATTAACCTCAGAAAATGTCATATGGTTTGTTACTCGGAAATCTAGTCTTTGACCTATTCAGTATCATTCCCAGGAATAAATTTTTGTAACCTGGGTTAAAACACCAAAAGAAATAATAATTAGGAACTATAGTAACGCTCTGTCACTAAAATAAATTTGTTCATGTAAAATATGAACCTAATGAACTGTTGGGATAGCTCAAGAATTCTTCAGAAAAAAACTCAAGAAGCCAGAAATAATTCTGAAAAAATTTCTGGCTGACGGTTCTTTCTTGAACCAGATTGAACGAACTCCTTACTCGTTACCAGTTTTACCATGTTTTCTGGAAGGTTCCCGAATTTCTTGATCACATAGTTCTACCCAGACACTCGAGTTTTGTAAGTAAACACAACCCTGAAGTAAACTCTTCTACACTTCCCCCTTCAGATTTCTTTTTTAAAGTTCAAGTGATATTTGAACTAAGAAGCGCTTAAGAAGTTATTGTCCGAGCATTTAAACAGAACACTTACTATGAAAAATAATATTCATCAGATATCGTGTTTTACAAATCTTCAACTAAAAAGAATGTAAACAAAACTTGCATTGCATAAATAAGTTATGGATTGTCTAATTAAGTAAAACAAGCAAACGAACAAGAGGCAACTGGTTAAAAATGACCAAGTTCACTGGATCGATATGAGTATAACTAAAAGTTGATTAATAACTTATAAAATATATTACCTAATTGAATGAAAAGTCGTTACCATTAGCCTAATTACTACTTGATAAATTAGTATTATCAATCTGAAATTAACTGAAGAGTTAATAAACAAAACAACGTTCTACTAAGATGACAATTGTTGTTTTTTCGCAGTTCAAGGCTGTTTTAAGCAATATCGAAATCTTGAATTTTTTTTTACCAACGGTTCGAATCATTTGTAAACGTAACTGTTTTACTGTAGGTTGAGAGATTTTAACAATTTTTGCAAAAACAACTATTCCAAGAATTATAACCAAGAACCTTCGATTCTTACAACAATTGACATTACCCTTAGACTATTGAGTTGCATTTCAATGATCTATATTTCCAAATTCGATTAACAGACATTCATTCAGTGCTTCTTAGTTTCTGAAACTTCTTCATAGTTGGTGTTAGTCCATGACGAGAACTAATTCTGGAAATTGATCTTATCCCCATAAACCATTGAAAATTTCAATGTAAGTAAGAAAAGCTTCATTGTAAAATAGTTGAAGTATTCCTAGCTTGTTTTTTTGTGTTCTTTTTCTTTTACATCAAAACTTGTCAAGTACATACATATGTCAACTGGAAAATGAAACTGTAACAGTGATTAAAATACCTGGTTTTCGACAAATAGATCGTTTGTTCTAATCGTGGCCTAATTTGGTTTTTGAACAGTCAAATAGTATCACTAGCCCACTTACATAGATAGTGTGTATTCAAACCAAATCTCTTAGTCTATAACATCCCAAGTGATTTATATTGCAAAAAAGACACCAATAAGATTTAACAATCATAAACATTATACTCTTATTAGTACAACATTATTCATTTACACAATATATCCTTTTGAACCAGGATAATTTTACATTGGTTTTCATAAGGGTTAGACACTATCCAGGCTTTAACCTTAGGATTCGAATATCACAGTTCAGTCATGTGGCACAATCACACAGGTACCCAGCACACTGGTGGATCTATTTGTATAGTAGGATCAGTAAACACTGATAGCTTTTATTACAATACTGTGGTCATTTTAAGTGCATTTAAATTTAAAATTTCGAACGTTCTAACCAAAAGTGAATAGTGATAAACAAAAAAAATAGAAAAAAAATAACAAAACAAACAGAGGAGCTAACGTAAACAAACAAACACATTGATCGACTCAATTTCCCACATCTCATATAAGAACAATGGGAGAAATTAACCAGTTGCAAATCAAAGAAGAAATAAAAAACAATAATAAATCAGTTGATGATTGTAAAAATCTGTAAGTGATGAACTAATAAACTGAATTGTAAGCAAAGATGGATAGTGATTAGCAGTGGAATCCAGGAGGCGCGTTTCGTCCTATTTGGGACTCGTCAGCCGTGGATGTACCTGCATCTCAGAGCTGATGTTCAAACAAAAGGTTGAGATTCAAACAAACAATACTAATTAAATTTAAACTTCACCCCATTGCACAAGCAAGTGGCTATCAGGACTCAGTGGCCGAGTGGATAACGCGATGGCATTTGAAGCGAAAGGAACTGGGTTCAAGTCTCAGAGTGAACACCAACAAGTCTGAGATGCAGATACATCCATCTGATGAGTCCCAAATAGGACGAAACGCTTGTCAAACTGGATTCTACTGCTAACCACTATCCATCTTTGCTTACCATGCTTGTGAATTAAGGCTATATCGAAGCAATACGCACAGTATTCACATATGCCAATTAGAGACTAACCAGTTGCAGTCCTAACACATCAATGGGAAGATTCAAACAAACAATACAAAATGAATTTAATAAACTGAATGCTACCAAAAAATGAATTGATCTAATGTGATTGACTGAATAACTGCGAGTACCATAATGTTTGTTACAGCGTTCAGATAAGTTGTGATAAGGCTAACATACATTTAATCTAAGATAAAGATGACTTGAAAAGTTAATTTTGTGGTTGTATATTATTACGATACAATATAATATAAAGATTATTTATGCGAATAAACATGTTTACATAATCATTTACTGAATTGTATGCAAAGTGTAAGTAATTTCTAAGTTTTGATTTTAGTATACCAAATTTCATTTTGAGTAAAATTCGCACATATAGTCAACATAAGCACAGTTCATTAAATCTCGCATATACCCCACTAATATATTAAATAAATTTGGTTATGTGGTTGGATTAGATGTCTCACTTAATATAGTAGTCAGTTGTTCTACCTTTTGATAACTATTACAGTTTGAACATGAATTGATTTATGTTGAGGATGCTAGATCCCTAGAAATCACTTGGTAAACATCTCATTTTTGTAATTTCATTTTGTAAGTTTGAATTTCTCGTTTTCGCACCAAAAGCCAGCATTTCTACCTTCAGATAGTATTTTCCGCTTGAAAGAACTCTAAATAAGATTGGTTCGTTCCCTCTTTTAATAAGCTATTTAGTGATGTTTCCCAGGAATATTTTTATGCTGCATATATACGCTTGTGGTTGTTCGTGCTTATGTCTGCTTGTGGAATATACCTTTCCCTCATTTGAACCAGGTCTTCTCCTTACAGTTAGCGGGGCTGGAACGTATCGGGATAGTTAAGTTTGTCTTGTCGTTGTGTCTCTGATCCTTAGTTCCGTTCGCTGATCTTAGATGGTCTCCTAATCCCTTCAAACATAGCAATTTAGCAAGTAAGACATCATGCAGATTGAACTACGAATTAACTTTGGTTTGACAACCAACAAAACCATGAATGATCAGTAAAACTTTGGAACAGAATACTTAGTCATACCACTATTTAGTCAAATCTATTGACTCATCATAACAAACTCAAGTAAATTTTTTAAAAATTTGGATCTCATTTTGCTCTAGTGAATACAATACTCTTATCTTGTAGTAAACGAACCCTATTAACAAAATTTACCTGTATCCTAGTAAGCATAGATGTACTCATTGTGTTGAACACTGAAATATTATATCCTACCTTATGCTATTTACATCAAATATTTATGTACAAAGGGAGACCGTGTATTGAATGCTTGTACTGGCTTATATATATATACTCCACGATCACCTACAATATTGATTAAAAATAAGCTTAGAAATAAGATAGTGAGAAGTTAACGATTGGTCATGCCAAAAACAAATAGGATCAAGGAGATTTATTGAGTACCTTTTATGATTGGTCAGAAGGGGTTTTTGTGGATATTTCAATATTTTCATAGTTAAAATCATGAGTCAAGTACGGTTGCTCAACTTCGTGGATCAGTTGAAGTTAGACATTAACACCGTTGGATGCCGACCGGCTCAGTGGTCTAGAGGTTAAGTGCTCCGGTGCAAAGCTGGTAGGTCTTGGGTTCGAATCTCGCGGGTGCGGGATCATGGATGCGCACTGTTGAGGGGTCCCACAATAGGACGAAACGGCCGTCCAGTGCTTCCAGGTTTTCCATGGTGGTCTAGCCTCAATTGATTCATGATTTCAACTATGAAAATCTTTTATTATTATTTGCATAGTTATAGATATATTTCCTTGAATGTGATTTCCTTCATGAACTCTGATATTACACCTGAAAAACTATTGAATATCAAGGAGTATGTAACAATTATTTCATTCTAATTTGACAACCTTAAAAAATGAATATTCATAATTGAAGATAAGTATAAACCTAAGTGTCACGTCAAGCACATTCATTTCAAGTAGCTGTTAAGTTGGTAAAAGATCTAAGAGCTTACATTCTCAACTGTAGTCAAATTTTTGACATACCATTACACTTTCTCAATATTCAGTTGATATCAGATAATGATTAAAATCGTCTATAAATTATACAAAGTCTTCACAATCTTATCCAGAAAATGTAGTAACTTTTTAAT